GGGGGGGGGGGGGGGGGGGGGGGTGGCCCAGACTGCCCTGCAGGTTTGGGTGAATGCGGGAAAGTATCTAATTCTTTCCCAAGGGGCCTCTTGACACAGCGGACAGGCCTTGAGGCTCCCCATCAGATTATTCTGGGCCAATGTGGCTGAGTCCAAACGAGAGCCCCTTAGAACACCTGGAAACCTCTAATAAAGTGAGTCTCCCAGCCCCCCTTCTCTCCAGCAATGCTCTCCAAGAGTTCCTGTAGGCTTTTTCAGTCTATCCTAAACTCTTAATGCAGGCCTAGAGTTCCATCAAATACTCCCACCCTTACCTACCAAGCTCCGCTGCATCCAAATAGCGCTATGTCAAACCTCAATATTAAATATATAGATATTTTAACACTCGCACGGGCACACTGAGCTAAGCATGGGGGCAAGCACTGGATAGTAAAAGAGCGAGCAAAGACTACTCTGTACATTGCTGCTGTGTTTCTAGAAGGGGCAACTTACCAGCCGGGTATTTACCACAGGAAACAGCAGGGCCAGAAGCGCTCCATTCAACATGTGCATCTGGAGCCTGGAGAGGAAAAACAGACAAAAGTCCAGGTCACACTCGGACTCTGTTGCAAAGGCGGGAAAAATGTGTCAAGTTACGCCCTGCCATGTGGGAGAGCATGTCAACAAGCGACTCTCTGTGTAAAATGGCACTGGTGTTGGCGCACACACGTAATAAATTGAAAGCGGCACGTCTTGCACGAATGAAATGTTCTGACCACTGCCTCAAACTCCCCCAAATGCCCCCTCAACGCGCTTTAGCTACACCACTTCATTCCACAATGAGCTCTGTGCTCCCTAAGCCTCCAATCGGTCCCAATCAACAGCTTCAGCCACCGCAGCTCAGGCAACTGTCAAAAAGAGGGGTTATACTAAGCAACTGCCCTGTTACCGCAGTGGAGGAGACACTGTTTCTTGTAACGTGCTTGTTTATTTACACAGCTATGTCCGATCCTTTTCCCCCAAACAGCAGCCCAGGTATAAAAAGGCTGGTTAATGTGGCGAGCCGAACGCAGTGTTCTGTCAACTGTGTTCTGCCACTTTCTTAGACATGTCTTCAGGGCACTTTGGATTCTCAATCTCTGCCCCTCCCCAGCTGACTTTCTATCTCTCTTTCTCTCTCTCTCAAAAATAAACGTTAAAATTTTTTTTTAACAAAGTGGGGGCCCCTGGGTGGCTCACTTGGGTAAGCATCCGACTTTTAGCTCAGGTCATGATCTCACAGTTTGTGAGTTGGATCTCCGCCTCCAGGCCCTGTGCTGACAGCTCAGAGCCTGGAGCCTGCTTCGGATTCTGTGTCTCCCTCTCTCTCTGCCCCTTCCCACCTTGCACTCTGTCTCTCTCTGTCTCTCTCTTTCTCAAAAATAAATAAATATTTTACAATTTTTTTAAAAAAAGAAATGTTTTCCAGGCTGCTGCAAGAGGTGGGGACGGCAGAAGTGGCAGGCTTCCAGGCTTTCTTTGATCGATTTTACAGATTGGATTTTGTGACTTTAAAGCAAAACAAAAAAGAGAAAGGTGGGGGCAGAAGAAGATGAAGAAAACCACCAGTCTCCAGCATCAGTAATAATACCGTTTCTGAATACCAGGCTTGTTAAAACACAAGCCAGAAACCCTGTATAAGTCAAGAGAAACCAAGTCGGAGGGCACCTGGGTGGCTCAGTCAGTTGAGGGTCCGACTTCGGCTCAGGTCATGATCTCATGGTTCGTGGGTTTGATCCCCGTGTCAGGCTCTGTGCTGACAGTGTGCATGCTGCTTGGTATTCTCTCTCTGGCTCTCTCTCTGCCCCTCCCTTGCTTGTGCTCTGTCTCTCTCTCAAAAATAAACATTTTTAAAAAAAGAACAACCAAGTCAGAAACAAACTGCCTGTGAGGGCTCTGAAGATGGACTTAAGCAGCTTCCTTCATCACTCAAGGCAAACAGTCCTTTATTTTTTTCTTTAATGTTTATTTATTTTTTTAGACACAGAGTGCCAGTGGGGGAGGAGCAGAGAGAGAGAGAGGGAGACACAGAATCTG